TGCTGACACCCAGGTAAGAGCACCAGTAGGTAGGGTATCGTAGTGCTGACACTCAGGTAGGAGCACCTGTAGGTAGTGTATCGTATTGCTGACACTCAGGTAGGAGCACCAGTAGGTAGTGTATCGTACTGCTGACACTCATGTAGGAGTTCCAGTAGGTAGTGTATCGTACTGCTGGCACTCAGGTAGGAGCACCAGTAGGTAGTGTATCGTACTGCTGACACTCAAGTAGGAGCACCAGTAGGTAGTGTATCGTACTGCTGACACTCAGGTAGGAGGACAAGTAGGTAGTGTATCGTACTGCTGACACTCAGGTAGGAGCACCAGTAGGTAGTGTATCGTACTGCTGACACTCAGGTAGGAGCGCCAGTAAGTAGTGTATCGTACTGCTGACACTCAGGTAGGAGGACCAGTAGGTAGTGTATCGTACTGCTGACACTCAGGTAGGAGCACCAGTAGGTAGTGTATCGTACTGCTGACACTCAGGTAGGAGCACCAGTAGGTAGTGTATCGTACTGCTGACACTCAGGTAGGAGCACCAGTAGGTAGTGTATCGTACTGCTGACACTCAGGTAGGAGCACCAGTAGGTAGTGTATCGTACTGCTGACACTCAGGTAGGAGCACCAGTAGGTAGTGTATCGTACTGCTGACACTCAGGTAGGAGCAACAGTAGGTAGTGTATCGTACTGCTGACACTCAGGTAGGAGCACCAGTAGGTAGTGTATCGTACTGCTGACACTCAGGTAGGAGCACCAGTAGGTAGTGTATCGTACTGCTGACACTCAGGTAGGAGCACCAGTAGGTAGTGTATCGTACTGGTGACACTCAGGTAGGAGCACCAGTAGGTAGTGTGTCGTACTGCTGACACTCAGGTAGGAGCACCAGTAGGTAGTGTATCGTACTGCTGACACTCAGGTAGGAGCACCAGTAGGTAGTGCATCGTACTGGTGGCACTCAGGTAGGAGCACCAGTAGGTAGTGTATCGTACTGCTGACACTCAGGTAGGAGCACCGGTAGGTAGTGTATCGTACTGCTGACACTCAGGTAGGAGCACCAGTAGGTAGTGTATCGTACTGGTGGCACTCAGGTAGGAGCACCAGTAGGTAGTGTATCGTACTGCTGACACTCAGGTAGGAGCACCAGTAGGTAGTGTATCGTACTGGTGGCACTCAGGTAGGAGCACCAGTAGGTAGTGTATCGTACTGCTGACACTCAGGTAGGAGCACCAGTAGGTAGTGTATCGTACTGGTGGCACTCAGGTAGGAGCACCAGTAGGTAGTGTATCGTACTGCTGACACTCAGGTAGGAGCACCAGTAGGTAGTGTTATCGTATTGGTGGCACTCAGGTAGGAGCACCAGTAGGTAGTGTATCGTACTGGTGGCACTCAGGTAGGAGCACCAGTAGGTAGTGTATCGTACTGGTGGCACTCAGGTAGGAGCACCAGTAGGTAGTGTATCGTACTGCTGACACTCAGGTAGGAGCACCAGTAGGTAGTGTATCGTACTGCTGACACTCAGGTAGGAGCACCAGTAGGTAGTGTATCGCACTGCTGACACTCAGGTAGGAGCACCAGTAGGTAGTGTATCGTACTGGTGACACTCAGGTAGGAGCACCAGTAGGTAGTGTGTCGTACTGCTGACACTCAGGTAGGAGCACCAGTAGGTAGTGTATCGTACTGCTGACACTCAGGTAGGAGCACCAGTAGGTTAGTGCATCGTACTGGTGGCACTCAGGTAGGAGCACCAGTAGGTAGTGTATCGTACTGCTGACACTCAGGTAGGAGCACCGGTAGGTAGTGTATCTTACTGCTGACACTCAGGTAGGAGCACCAGTAGGTAGTGTATCGTACTGGTGGCACTCAGGTAGGAGCACCAGTAGGTAGTGTATCGTACTGCTGACACTCAGGTAGGAGCACCAGTAGGTAGTGTATCGTACTGGTGGCACTCAGGTAGGAGCACCAGTAGGTAGTGTATCGTACTGCTGACACTCAGGTAGGAGCACCAGTAGGTAGTGTATCGTACTGGTGGCACTCAGGTAGGAGCACCAGTAGGTAGTGTATCGTACTGCTGACACTCAGGTAGGAGCACCAGTAGGTAGTGTATCGTATTGGTGGCACTCAGGTAGGAGCACCAGTAGGTAGTGTATCGTACTGGTGGCACTCAGGTAGGAGCACCAGTAGGTAGTGTATCGTACTGGTGGCACTCAGGTAGGAGCACAGTAGGTAGTGTATCGTACTGCTGACACTCAGGTAGGAGCACCAGTAGGTAGTGTATCGTACTGCTGACACTCAGGTAGGAGCACCAGTAGGTAGTGTATCGCACTGCTGACACTCAGGTAGGAGCACCAGTAGGTAGTGTATCGTACTGCTGACACTCAGGTAGGAGCACCAGTAGGTAGTGTATCGTACTGCTGACACTCAGGTAGGAGCACCAGTAGGTAATGTATCGTACTGCTGACACTCAGGTAGGAGCACCAGTAGGTAGTGTATCGTACTGCTGACACTCAGGTAGGAGCACCAGTAGATAGTGTATCGTACTGCTGACACTCAGGTAGGAGCACCGGTAGGTAGTGTATCGTACTGCTGACACTCAGGTAGGAGCACCAGTAGATAGTGTATCGTACTGCTGACACTCAGGTAGGAGCACCGGTAGGTAGTGTATCGTACTGCTGACACTCAGGTAGGAGCACCAGTAGATAGTGTATCGTACTGCTGACACTCAGGTAGGAGCACCGGTAGGTAGTGTATCGTACTGCTGACACTCAGGTAGGAGCACCAGTAGGTAGTGTATCGTACTGCTGACACTCAGGTAGGAGCACCAGTAGATAGTGTATCGTACTGCTGACACTCAGGTAGGAGCACCGGTAGGTAGTGTATCGTACTGCTGACACTCAGGTAGGAGCACCAGTAGGTAGTGTATCGTACTGCTGACACTCAGGTAGGAGCACCAGTAGGTAGTGTATCGTACTGCTGACACTCAGGTAGGAGCACCAGTAGGTAGTGTATCGTACTGCTGACACTCAGGTAGGAGCACCAGTAGGTAGTGTATCGTACTGCTGACACTCAGGTAGGAGCACCAGTAGGTAGTGTATCGTACTGCTGACACTCAGGTAGGAGCACCAGTAGGTAGTGTATCGTACTGCTGACACTCAGGTAGGAGCACCAGTAGGTAGTGTATCGTACTGCTGACACTCAGGTAGGAGCACCAGTAGGTAGTGTATCGTACTGCTGACACTCAGGTAGGAGCACCAGTAGGTAGTGTATCGTACTGCTGACACTCAGGTAGGAGCACCAGTAGGTAGTGTATCGTACTGCTGACACTCAGGTAGGAGCACCAGTAGGTAGTGTATCGTACTGCTGACACTCAGGTAGGAGCACCAGTAGGTAGTGTATCGTACTGGTGACACTCAGGTAGGAGCACCAGTAGGTAGTGTATCGTACTGCTGACACTCAGGTAGGAGGACCAGTAGGTAGTGTATCGTACTGCTGACACTCAGGTAGGAGCACCAGTAGGTAGTGTATCGTACTGCTGACACTCAGGTAGGAGCACCAGTAGGTAGTGTATCGTACTGCTGACACTCAGGTAGGAGCACCAGTAGGTAGTGTATCGTACTGCTGACACTCAGGTAGGAGCACCAGTAGGTAGTGTATCGTACTGCTGACACTCAGGTAGGAGCACCAGTAGGTAGTGTATCATACTGCTGACACTCAGGTAGGAGCACCAGTAGGTAGTGTATCGTACTGCTGACACTCAGGTAGGAGCACCAGTAGGTAGTGTGTCGTACTGCTGACACTCAGGTAGGAGCACCAGTAGGTAGTGTATCGTACTGCTGACACTCAGGTAGGAGCACCAGTAGGTAGTGTATCGTACTGCTGACACTCAGGTAGGAGCACCAGTAGCTAGTGTATCGTACTGCTGACACTCAGGTAGGAGCACCAGTAGCTAGTGTATCGTACTGCTGACACTCAGGTAGGAGCACCAGTGGTAGTGTATCGTACTGCTGACAATCAGGTAGGAGCACCAGTAGGTAGTGTATCGTACTGCTGACACTCAGGTAGGAGCACCAGTAGGTAGTGTATCGTACTGCTGACAATCAGGTAGGAGCACCAGTAGGTAGTGTATCGTACTGCTGACACTCAGGTAGGAGCACCAGTAGGTAGTGTATCGTACTGCTGACACTCAGGTAGGAGCACCAGTAGCTAGTGTATCGTACTGCTGACACTCAGGTAGGAGCACCAGTAGCTAGTGTATCGTACTGCTGACACTCAGGTAGGAGCACCAGTAGGTAGTGTATCGTACTGCTGACACTCAGGTAGGAGCACCAGTAGGTAGTGTATCGTACTGCTGACACTCAGGTAGGAGCACCAGTAGGTAGTGTATCGTACTGCTGACACTCAGGTAGGAGCACCAGTAGGTAGTGTATCGTACTGCTGACACTCAGGTAGGAGCACCAGTAGGTAGTGTATCGTACTGGTGACACTCAGGTAGGAGCACCAGTAGGTAGTGTATCGTACTGGTGACACTCAGGTAGGAGCACCAGTAGGTAGTGTATCGTACTGCTGACACTCAGGTAGGAGCACCAGTAGGTAGTGTATCGTACTGGTGACACTCAGGTAGGAGCACCAGTAGGTAGTGTATCGTACTGCTGACACTCAGGTAGGAGCACCAGTAGGTAGTGTATCGTACTGCTGACACTCAGGTAGGAGCACCAGTAGGTAGTGTATCGTACTGCTGACACTCAGGTAGGAGCACCAGTAGGTAGTGTATCGTACTGCTGACACTCAGATAGGAGCACCAGTAGGTAGTGTATCGTACTGCTGACACTCAGGTAGGAGCACCAGTAGGTAGTGTATCGTACTGCTGACACTCAGGTAGGAGCACCAGTAGGTAGTGTATCGTACTGCTGACACTCAGGTAGGAGCACCAGTGCACTAAACGTTTACAAGTTAAAACAATGTCAACAGTTAAAACGTTTTCTCTGGAGAGTAATGTGACTCACTGGGGAAGAGGATCCTGTTTGGAGCTGCCAGAGCTACCCCGACCAGGGACAAGAGACAGATGAACTTCATGGTGCCAGCAGAGTGCCACAAACTTTACTCTCACGTCTCTATATGTACGCAGAACAAAAATCTTACTGGCATCTGGCTTATCTTAAGTTCTCACACCATACTTTTTATTTTGAGAGAGACAGAAATATATAAATCGGTGGCTTATCAGTGTAAGATCCCTCCCTGTCTGAAGGAACATTTCCTGAAAGTTTCTCTAAAAATTTGCTTAATGAACTTACCAATTTGGTCGAGATTTGTTGATGTTTAAGATGGAGATCATATGGGGTGTTTCAACAAATAACCCGCACATAGGGAAGTGTAACTTATGACATTCCGGTGCGTCTTGGTCCATTAACTAGTTACGTCGAAAATCATATGAAATACCGACAAGCTCATGAGTAGGACTCGCAAACGCGGTAGACTTCATCAGTCAAATATAGAGGAGAATGTAATGAAGGCAGCAGTAGCGGCGAGGTAGTCAGTCCCTCAGCCTTGAAAAGAGCTCATTTCCGTTGTCTGGAGCGATATGAAGCTGAAGAAGGTGCAGGTATGTCCTGACCCAGGTCTTCTCCATGTGGTGACTCGGCAGTAGCTCCCAAAGGAGTGACACGAATGCTCACAGCCCTATGGCGGTTGTGAGCATTCGTGTCAAGTGGAGTACCGTTTACAGTTTTTTGTGGCAGCCCTATGACAAGGGCACGGTGAGTCTTCAGGTCAGGTGGAGTACCGTTTACTGTCCTATGGCGGGGTGTGGCATGCGAAGAGTATGTTACAATTTATTCGGCGTATGTCACACTCCCGTATAGGCTGCCTCCCAACCAGCGAACCGGGTGCTAAGAGTTTAACTATCGATAGGGTGCCTGTCTTTAAATCAGTAACTTGATTCATTGACCAATCACAGGCAATCCCGCAAAAGCTGAAGCAACGTGGTTCACTTTCGGTAAGCAGTGGCAGACTTGCCTACCTGCTGGTTGAGTATGGTACACTCTCTCTGGCTTTTGCTTTGCCATCTGTCACCGTGGGGTACACATTATTCTATCTGTACATATTGTACATAGTGTACATATCTATATATAGTGGGTGAAGGCAAAATATACATTACAGTTTACTGCTGAGTTCGTTCGAATTCCCATTACGACCAGGTTTCACAGGTCATTCATTACTTGTGTTCGTAATACAGGGTCAGCACTATGACAAGGGTACGGTGAATCTTTCAGCACAATTGATGTAACAGTTAGCTACAAGTGTCGTAAACGCCCAGTAGCTGGATCACAGCACGTCTTTAGTTCAAATAGTATCTTTGGTCCGGTGTGTACGATGATGCGAGTCATATTTAACTTAAACGGACTCATCTGCTACAGAGCTCGCGGTAATTAGCAAAGGTGTTGGCGCAGGATTTCAGTTTACTGTGAAAACTGAAATGATCCGTTCTTGAATAATTTAAACATTGTTTCGTACGTATATGAGTATTGCATATCTGTCGAAGACATTGATGAACTGCCTCACAAAATTTTGGACTTGTTGTGATGTGAACTTGTATGGAATAACAGAGGCGTATCTGATAGTCTTATTGCAAATCGAGGGTTGGGTTCTTTGGCGAACATGTTTTTCTTGTTTGCAGGTGTAATGAAGAATCGAAGATTCTTTTAGGTCAGGCCAGGAGTGTGGTTGTCGATTTCAAGATCGTCATCAGAGGTGTAAGAGTCTTTGTGATCTTCATGTGGAGTAGCTGTGGGTATGGTAATGGTGACAACCTGAAAAGATAGGGTTGTTTGGGTAGCAGATGGCTCAGGGGTGGTTTGGATAGCAGATGGTTCAGGAGTGGTTTGGGCAACAGATGGATCAGCGGTGGCTTCGGCAGCAGGTGGGTCAGGGGTGGACTGGGTAGCTTTGGCTGAGGGAATAGAGGGGATAGTGATGTCGCATGTGTTGAAGGTTTTCAGTATTTCTTCTGATGGTGCAGTGTCAGGAAACATGAAGCTGTGAAGCTGTTAAGGTGGAAGACATGAAGGTTACAGGGCAAGCGGCGTTCCTCATGCGTGCATACATGGTCTTGACTGGAGCGCCATCTGGGAGTGTTGGAATAAAGTTCATTGAAGAGTTTTTTGAGTGTTGCCTTGTAGTCTTGTGACTGCAAAGTACGTCGGGGTTTCCAGGTTTTGCTTATTGACGATTTCCTTCCCGAGAGGGCATTTGCAGTTGCAGCTGAGACACTTTGTTTGAAAGCTAGAGGTGCAGTCCTTATGAGTGTGTCCTTCAGTGCCGCAGTTAGAGCAGTATTTCTTTTCCTTCAAAGGGCAGTGCTTGGCGAGGTGCATGTATGCATAGCAGTTTAAACAGTAGATAATGTGGGGGAGTCACTCAGGTTCTATGTTCATGGGATTTACGTGGTAATACGAAATACGTAGATCTTCATTAAGTACCTGATATGCTATGGAGATTTCAGTGAATGCGACCTTGATCATGGAGTTGGCGGTTGGAATTTTTGTGATGGAGTCGACAGTGGCCCAATCATTTTGAACTTCAGTGAGTCGTTTCTGGTCGTTATTTGAGTGGATGGTGACGTCACGATCAAGTTTCTTTACGAATACCGATTTCTTGACCGTCTACACAGGGGAAGGAGCTACTTCAAAGTTACGGTCCTTGAGAACGTTCATAGCCGAGGTGGTGATGATCTTGTCGGCTTCGTCCTTGTTAAAGCAGATGACATTGAAAGAGTCTTTAGTACCGAGGAGGTTGGACAGCTTCACCTGCAAGGTGGTCGTCAGGAGTCTTGCTAGAGTCTTCATCGTCGTGTCTGAGATGGTGCCACGAAGTGGGCAAATGAGCTCACAGTGCGCTATGACGATGTTACTGACAACTAGAAGCCACTGATGTGTGTGTGTGGTGCTTGGATATTTCAACCAGTGTGGAGGTGTGTGAGATTCAGGTTCAGGTAGGTTCGCTAGGACGGGTCCTGGCTCGGGTCTTCTTCCTGTGGCGACCCTGCAGTGGCTATCGAAGTAGTGTCAGAGTTTGTACAAGAGATGTACGGTTTACAACCCTATGGCAAGGGCAGGTGAGCATTCCTGTCAAGTGGAGTACCGTTTACAGTACTATGGCTGGGGCAGCCTTATGACAAGGACACGGTGAGTGTTCCTTAGCACATGTGCAGCAGGTAGCTACAATCAACGCCCTCTAGCTGGGGTACAGCAAGTCTTCGGTTCAGAAGAAGCAAGAAGGCAAGAATTGAGGAGCACTGCAGCATGCCTGTTAGTCCATGTTAAGCAGATCCCTTTGGAATCCAACCCGATCCAGACCATGGAGGTGAACTCTCCTTCAGGCTGAGGGACTGACCACCTCAAACTATTTCTCCAAGGTAGGTTCACTGATTAAATGCCGCGGCATAATAGTGGCTTTCTTTGTACTTAGCAAATCAATATCGTAATTACACATTGTAAACTATGCATGGAAATAAACTACTTATAACATGTCAGTCACACATTTCAAACTATGCAAAGAAATAAAAAACTGAATTTGAATTTGATTACATCATCTTTACCTCGCCATTACTTCTGACTGATGAAGCCTACCGTGGAGGCGAAACGTTTCAACCTTAATAATAATGGACTCTTACGCATGCGTTTTGTACATCATTAACTAGTCACAGAGAAGAACAAAAGCTGATTGACTGAATCATTGATTGGTTCGTCAGGAATTGCGTCCTGACGCGGCTCTTAATCCCAAGATGACCCGCCTGAGGATCTCGAAGGAGAATCTGACGGTCTGGAGTTTTGAGAGAATCTGAGGTTAATAGCTACGACGTTTTTACTTGTGTCGTAGATGTCGATCAAAATTCTTTTGTTCCGTGATCGTGATCAAGGTCTTGCTGTAATCCATGTGTGTTCCACAGCAAAACATTTCACGTAGTACATAATGGCCTGCATCCCTACATAATGGCAGGCATCCCTACATAATAGCCTGCATTCCTACATAATGGCCTGCATTCCTACATAATGACCTGCATTCCTACACAATGGCCTGCATTCCTACATAATAGCCTGCATTCCTACATAATGGCCTGCATTCCTACATAGTGGCCTGCATTCCTACATAATAGCCTGCATTCCTACATAATGGCCTGCATTCCTACATAAAGGGCTGTATCTCTACGTAATGGCTTCCATCCTTACACAATGGCCTGCATCCCTACATAATGGCCTGTATCCCTATATAATGGGCTGCATCCCTACATAATGGACTGCATCCCTACATAATGGCCTTCATCAGATAACCCTCGACTGTTTCTGTTAATTGATTTATTCACCCTCATTAATGTCTGCATGATGATTTGTACACCCTAAGTTGTATTAGCAGAAAAAACTGTGTTCTTCTGTTGTAGTATGATTTATACATCCTTACCAGTAGATTTATGATTTGTGCATTTTGATGCGGCATTAAGATAAATCCCTACATAATGGCCTTCAACCCTACATAATGGCCTTCAACCCTACATAATGGCCTTCAACCCTACATAATGGCCTGCATCCCTACATAATGGCCTGTATCCCTACATAATGGTCTGCATCCGTACAAAATGGTCTGCATCCCTACATAATGGCCTGCATTCCTACATAATGGCCTGCATCCCTACATAATGATCTGCATCCCTACATAATGGCCTGTATCCCTACATAATGGTCTGCATCCTAAATAATGGCCTTCATCTCTACATAGTGGCCTGCATTCCTACATAATGGCCTGCATCCCTACATAATGGCCTGCATCCCTACATAATGGCCTGCATCTCTACATAATGGCCTGCATCCCTACATAATGGGATGCATCCCTACATAATGGCCTGTATCCCTACACAATGATCTGCATCCCTACATAATGGCCTGCATCTCTACATAATGGGCTGCATCCCTACATAATGGGATGCATCCCTACATAATGGCTTGCATCCCTACATAATGACCTGCATCCCTACATAATGGCCTGCATCCCTATACAATGGCCTGCATCCCTACATAATGGCCTGCATCCCTACATAATGGGATGCATCCCTACATAATGGCCTGTATCCCTACACAATGATCTGCATC